ACTGCTAACATTTTGGCATAAACAAAGAAAAATCTATTTCTTAAAATAGATGTCCTGGAAGGAGGCATGCTACATGACAGTCTCTTCCCGTAAGGGACCTGGGCTGAGGTGGGCAGCTGGATCAAGTCCTCTTAGGAAACGTTGTTGAAAATTCATCCAAGAACATTTCACTGCAGCTCCAGATCCCTGTGTTCCTCTCCTCTGTTTTTCCCCACAGGCCTATTTATTTATGAAGTGCAATGAACTATGCAAAGCTCTTTCCAGACTGGCTCGTTTTGTCCTTGCAACAACACCATGAGGTGAATGCTAATCTCTGCTCCACAGTGTAGGTAGGGAAACAGGCTTATAGAAGATAAATGACTTGCCAAGATCACCCAGCCAGTAAGAGGCAGGGTCAGGACTGCACCCACTGATCTTTCTGACTCTGGAGCTCTACTTTTTTAAAAAGTCCTTTGTCCACTTAAAAACAAGCAACCACCTTTCTATTTGGAAATAATTTTAGACTTACACAAAAGTGAAAACAGCAGAGTTCCTGCATACCCCTGACCCGGTTTAACCAACGTTAACCTCTTACATAACCATGGCATAATTGTCAAAAGTAGGAAATTAACGTCGGCACAATGCTATTAACTCAACGACAGACCTTATTTGAATTTCCCCAGTTTGTCCACAAAGGTGCTTTTTGTTGCTCTGGAATTCAATCATGACCCCACTTTGCATTTAGTCTTTTCCAATCTCTAGTAGTTTTCAGTCTTTCTTTGCCTTTTATGATCTGCATGCTTTTGAAAAGTATTGTTCCCTATGTGTGTGTGTGTGTGTGTGTGTGTGTGTGTGTGTGTTTCTTTTGAGGGACTGTTTTTGATTTGGGTTTATGTGGCTTTTCTCATGATTATATTGAGATTATGCATTTTGGAAAGAATACCACAGAAAAATACGTATCAGGAGACACATGAATATATCTTATTACTACCTTTGATGCCTGGGTAAGAGGGTGTCTGCTAAGTCTCCCCATTGTAAACTTACTATTCTTCTATTTGGAGCGAATAAATGTCTTGAAGGAGATAATTTGATATTATTATGCAAGTATTCTGTTTCTTCCCAAAGTTATTTTGGGGGTAATTTTTTTTTAGTGTGGGAAAATATACATAAAATTTATCATTTTAAGCATTTTTAAATGTACAGTTCTGTGGCATTAAATACCTTCACATTATTGTGCAACCATCACTACCATCCATCTCCAGAACTTCTTAATCTTCCTCAACAGAAACTCCGTACCCATTAAACACTAAAGCTCCTTCCCCACAATCACCCCCCTACTTTCTGTCTCCATGAATTTGGCTACTCTGGGAATCTCCTAATAAGAGGAATCATAATATGTTTTTCTTAAAGTTCTGTCCACTGCCCTGGCAGATGTGGCTCAGTGGGTTGGGTGTCATCTTGTGCACCAAAAGGTTGCCGATTTGATTCCAGGTCAGAGCACATGCCTGGGTTGCGGGCTCGATCCCCAGTAGGGTGCGTGCAGGAGGCAGCCAATCAATGTTTGGCACTCTTTCTCCTAAAAATAAATCGGAAAAAAAAATTGTGCCCACCAATTTTAGCATCCATGTAGTGATCTAATGGTGACTTCATTCCTTCTACTCATCTGCTTTTGAAAGCATTAGAGCCTTCCTTTGATTCACTTAAAGACTGACTGATCAATCAAGCTTACTCTAATTCTTGGAAAGAATTAATATAGAGAAGTTCAAAAGCTGTTTAATAGGAGAAGGAAGGTCCATGCTTATGCATCAGGACCGATTATATAATTTGCAGGTCCCCTGGCAAATGAAAATGTGGGGACCTTCGTTAAAAAACTATTAAGAGCCCTGGCCGGTTTGGCTCAGTGGATGGAGCGTCGGCCTGCGGACTGGGGGGTCCCGGGTTTGATTCCGGTCAAGGGCATGTGCCTTGGCTGCGGGCACAT